AAATAAATAAATAAATAAATAAATAAATAAATAATAAAAAACCCCCACATAGTCTTTGTACTATATCCTGTGGTTATAGTTTGTTATTCCTGAAGTTGCTCTTGTCTAAATGCGTGGGTTTGCCCTACCAGTGAACCAGAAGGCATGGGCAGCCACTACCAAGGAGAGTATGTTGGAGGAGGGATGATAAGTTTCTGTGGCATGCTAGAAATGCTTAAGAGTAATAGGATTACACTAATGCTTCAAACCAGAGATACTGTCTGAATTAATTATATACATGAGTTACTTTCCAACTCTTGTAAAGGTATCCAAACTGATTTTCCTTTGCCCCTTTTCCAGGTTTAATCAAATAACCAGGAATGACTCAGCATAATTTCCCCTTTAGAAAAATTCCATCAATAGACATATACGTACTTTTACTGATGCTCTGAAAGTTTGCTTTTGTGAAAGGAACTCACCAGATACTGTACTGATGTCACCTCTGAAGTTCTTTTAAAGGCAATATGGTGGTCATTGTTAGGAAAAAGAACAATGTTCTAATAGACAGTTTCATGGTAAACTTTGGGCTCTTCAAGAACTTATTGGAGGATATACTTTTAGTGTCAATGATTTGTTTACATCCAGTCTAGGAATTCATTTTAGAACTTTCTGTGTACATTTCCACTAACTACTATTTCTAATATTTGTATAAAACAATTTGAAGTGGACCAGCAGGTGGCACGGTGGTTAGGGAGGTAGACTCCCACATGGCTGACTGTGGTTCAAGTCCCACACCTGGGAGCTTGCTCTCTTTTTCTTTCTCTCTCTCTTTCTCTCTCTATCACTCTCTAGTAAGCACACATGCCCTGCAGCAAATTAAATAATATAAGTAAATAAATAATTCTTTTAAAAATTTGGTACTTAAAAATCTTAATATTTTCTTAATATTCCTTAACATCTTCCTAGTAAAAAACTAAGTAAAAGAATATTTATTCCTCCCATTCCTCATTTTTGTTATAAAGGCTCTACTATCAATCTAACTGATTTTCTGACTTTGAATTTACATAATGCACCATTAAAAAAATGTTTCCAAATTTTACCAGGACCTGCCAAATTTTGATTTCTTGACTCCTACTTATCTCTTCCAAGATTACTATCTTCGTTTTTTTTAAATTTTGCAATTAAAAATTAAGATGATTCTACTTCATCTCTTTTTATTTAAAATAATCTTTCATTCCAAAATCTAATCTCCCTACATGAGAGCTTTTATCTTTTATCTTTATCCTTAGCTTTTATTGTCTATATAAATTCTCCCATGATAACTAAATTTCAATGAGATAATCTTCTAAGAAGAGTAAGAGTCAGGGAGCGTGTGCTTCATGTATGAGGGTAGAGGCATCTTACAAAAAAATTATTCATGACCTTCAAAATTTTGTGTACCATAATAAGTTAATTTCACCTTCCACAAACTGTTTGAAGTTCCCTCATATTAATTGCACTTTCATAGGCTTTTAAAAATTATAGAGTAAAAGGCTCAGCATTCACAATACTAACATGAGAGAATTGTGAAAAGGAGTAACTACCACTTACCTTTTGGAATCTGGCATACCCACTCGAGTTTTGTGTCACAAGCAAAAGGCCTGAAATAAGAATATTCTCTGTCATCATGGAAATGCCAGCCTCTTCGCCATGGCCTATGAATGACCTAAAGGAGGAAAAAGATTTCAGAATATTTTGAAGTTGATCCAGTACTAAACTGCCAGCCTTGTAGTCTTGACCTCTATTTTAGCCCTGGCACCGAAGATATTTGTTTATATATAAACACATGAATGAATGGCATGTTTGAACAGTAACAACCTGAACAAGAGGCTTCACAGGGGCTGATACAAGAAGAATATCATAACGTCATCTTGTCCAAAATTATTGTCTCTTCCCTCTCCACGCCTCCCATCTTGTTGGCATGAAATTGCAGAATCTTGTACTTTCAAAACTTGGGAAGACCAAGTTAGAAAAGAATATTTCTTTCAGTGGATCCAAACAGCAGGCTGTGATCAAAGTAGATTTAAGTCCGACATCAGGAGCATAGGCTCCTCCTTTGGCGTTGCACTGTCATATCTAGGACGTTGCTCTTCTCCGTGTGGCCCAAGATGCTCACTATGACTTCCAGCCAGCAAGCAGGAGAGAAAGGAAAGGGGAAGGCATGGCCAGGGAAGGGCAGCTGTTGCTCTGTGAACTGTTTTCTCTGTAGGGCAAGATTCTGGTGGGTTCTGCGCAAGCGAGACAAAATTCTACCTGCTGGGCTTGTTCCTGGTATAGGCAGCATTGGTGTTTTATTTATTTTTGCAGATTTCAAAAATCTTCTCATATACGGGGATTCTATTTACACAGACCACAGTCAACTCTAGTGTGCTTGATATGCCTGAAAGTTCCATAAGCTTCTCTGAAGTTTTTACCTTTTCATGTTTTAAATAGGAAATTCTATTAAAATGGCACGCTATTAGGCAGTTTATTACCAGAAGAGTCACTTTGAAAATTGTGCTTTCCACTGACTTTCCCAGTTCTCCTTTGTCTCCACCTTCTTGTAACATTTCTAGTCAGTTACCTTCCTGCTTATAAGCACTTTTCTGGGCTACAGAGCTAAGAAATTACCTAGGCTAAGTCTCCTTCCTCATCTTCTTTCACACCATACGTTGGAAGCTCCCTAATCTTTTTTTTTTTTTTGGAGAGGTTTTCGCTATAGGGCACGTGCGCTCGCCAGACAGACAGAGACAGAGAGACAGAAAGCGAGAAATCACCCCCCAGAGGGGATGGTCACGCCGCAATCCCTTCTCCTCCATTCTCCTCTCGGGATCTTGGGCACGCACGCACATGTGCCCGGCGTGAGTTTGAAGCCACCGGGTCCGGGACGCGAACCGCGGTCGACTACATGGGAGTCCAGCGACATAGCCATTACGCTAACTGCTGTTTCCCCGGAAGCTCCCTAATCTAATTTTGGGCCTTTTGTTTTTATTTATTTATTTATTTATTTACAATACTCAGAAGGCATGTGCAGTTGCCAGAGGCAGATAGAGAGAGAAGGGACAGGGAGAAGGCACCACCCTTCCCCATGGGCACGGTCCGAGTGCAATTACTTCTCATCCATTCTTCATCTTGCTGGTGTTGGGCACACATGCACATGTACCCGGCATGTTTTTTAAGCCATCAGGTCCAGGATTCAAACTGCTATTGGCTATGTAGGATCTGGCTCCTTTAACCACTAGGCTATAGGGCTGGTTCTTATCCCCCCAATCCCCAATATGTTTGTTTCCTTTAGCTCCAGTCTTTTGATTTCAACTTACTATAAAATGTATCTTATAGCTTGCTTAGATTCAAAATATCTAAAGTAAAATACACTATTTTTTCCCATAAGCCAATAGTCCTTTTGACGGTTTCTATAAATGCCTAGTCATATGGTATAATGGTTAAAAGTACTGGATGCAGACACACATCAGTGGGTAGCTGGAGGGGCCTGATGTCAGGAACAGAGAAGTCTGTGGTGATGATCTTGGTGAAGATAATAAGGACTGAATGGGGAGGGAGGCAGGAAGAAAATCTGAGAACATTTCAACTTCACCTGACTTTTTTCCTGACTTCCTAATTCCCTATTATAGTTTTCTACCTTGAAAAATTAGCATGGCGATACTACTTTGCCCTAATTAATGTCATTATAGTTTTGTTTGTAAAAAGTTATGGATTTAATTTTATTTATTATTATTATTTAATTTGCTATAGGGCACTTGTGCTCACCAGAGAGAGACAGAAAGAGAGAGGGAAAGTGAGAAAGCAAGCCGCCAGGCCTGGGATTTGAACCATGGTCGGCCATTTGGGAGTCCAGTGCCTCAACCACCATGCCACTTACTGACCCCAATGTCATGATAGTCTTAACCTATTTACATTTAAAAATTTTGTAATTGACACAATAATTGAATGTGTTAATGGAGTACAGCATGTTTCTATGTATGTATACAATGTGTAATGATGCAATCAGAGTAATTAGCATTTCATTTTTCTTTTTTTTTTTTTTTTGGAGAGGTTTTTGCTATGGGGGGCGTGTGCTTGCCAGAAAGGCAGAGACAGAGAGATAGAAAACGAAAAATCACCCCCCAGGGGCGATGACCATGCCACAATCTCTTCTCCTCCATTCTCCTTGGGATCTTGGGCACGTAGGTACATGCGCCCAGCATGAGTTTAAGCCACCAGGTCCAGGAGTTGAATCGCGGTCGACTACATGGGAGTTCAGCCACATAGCCATCACCCTAACTACTGGTCTCAGAGTACTTAGCATTTTGATCACCTTAAACATTATCATTTATTTGTTCTAACTGACCTTTCATGCCTTCCAATCAATTCTATCTGTTGCATCTTCAAGTCTGCCTCAAGATGAATCTTCTTCATACCCCTCTTGGTTCACGTAAGTTTCTCTACTCAGAACCTTCTTATTAAAGTTTGCTTGTTTATTTATTAATTAATTTCTCCCATGAGAAAGATAAAGAGATAACCAAACTGGGTCCCCATACTGATCCACTTCCAGTTTTGGCCAGCCCAGACTGCAGGGCCTTGGTAAATATAGAGAGGTCCTGGGAGACGAACCCAGGACCTCCCACCAGGTCCACTTGCTATGGCACAACCTGGCCCCAGAAACTTCTCAAACGGCCTTGTTGCTTATTAAAAAAATCTTCCAACTGCTTAACCTGGCTTCAACTGAATTTCCTCAATGTTGTTTTCAACCACAGCACTGACCAAAATTCTTAATCTGAATTCTGTTCTTTCTGCCTTACCCTCTTCCCTGCATTCCCACCTTATTACACATTACTTTCTCATACCTCTCCCCATTAAAAACCTCAACCCTACTCCACCTACACAAATTCTATCCAGGACGCAGTTCAAGTCTTCTTTCCTGAAACAGGCCACAGGATCCTTGCCTCTTCTGAGTTTCATTAGCTTCCTCAGCATGTTGAAGCTTACTACTGCATAGTAATGGGAATGATTTCTCTTGACTATAGATTTATCTTCTTCAATTAAGTATAAAGTAGTCACTTGAGGACTGGGCTATGGGTGTATTTATCTCCTATTGCACCAAACATCAGGCTCCACACACATATGGATCTGGTGCCCGATTGCATATGATGCTAAATGCATTTGTCATGTATGCAGTTGTCTCAGCGTTGCACTGACCTTGACAGCAGCACAGTCTCTGACGTCATAATCCTGGTGAAACTCATTTTCCATGACAATAGTGGA